AGAATCCGCATTCTTCTTCACGACGTAGTCAGGATCGTACTTGACCTTGACACCAGTGAAAGCGGGGGATCCATTATCGCTGCTGATGTCGAAAGTGTGGGTGGCAAATTTCGACGACAAGATACTGGAGGGGTCGTTGAGGATCTTCATTGTCGTGTCACCGGTGTTAGTGAGAGTTGCGGCCACATTAAGGTTCTCGACATCAACCACAGAATCAGCGCCTACGGTAGTCGTCAGGACGATCTGTGATGCAAAGACTAGTAATAAAAAGCAATACCAGAAAGTGAGAGGGAAAGTCCCGGGGCGGCGAACACAGCGACCGCGGAGAGGCAGAGGGTGTACAAGAAGGAGCGAACGGAGAGGGAGAACATGGCTACAATCGACAACCTAGTAGACCGGTGATGGACGCTTTCTTCGTTTTTTTCCGACCTTTATACGCGCAGGTCGACCAGCACGCCGAGATAAGACCAAAGCAGTTTCATAATCGCGACGCGAGCACCATATTGCTGGTGGCTTCTTTTGACCATCAATAGGGTCCAGTGCATGTGTATGTATTACACCGAGAACGGATGCCATGCAGGCAGAAGTGCAGGATTTGTATGCTTGATGATCCACAATCAAGGCCCACGATGGGTGTCTACCATCGGTCTGAAGCAACAATCCGTAGCAAGACGACGACACCCAAGTCAGATCTGGCGATTACCGGGTCGTTGAATAGGCAACATAAGGCTATTGTGTCGTCTCGAGTCCTAGAAAGTCGGCCAAGGCGCTGTGAAGGCCAGAAGCAGAGAAGACTATCCCGGAACCGTGAAGGGGCTGCAGAAAGAACTGCCTGGCCGGCGCAAAATCCCCGGATTAGACGTTCGAAGAGAACACACGCTATTCCGACGTGCATGAGTACATGTCCTTTGACAAGGACATGAGTTAGGACCTCGACCCCCTCGTGATATGCAAAACACGCAGTGATAGAGCTGAAGCAAGTGGTAAGGTCCGATAGCCATACGCGCAGACCAATTGCAATGACAACGTTTGCCAGAACAGATAGCGATGTCCTTTTGGTGCGCTTCTAACGGTTACGATCATGCCAAGCAAGTGATGAGTCAAAATTACGGAAATTCACACGTGGCGTCTATTTCAATTTTCAACTTGGACGTTAGCGGCCACTACGGTTCGTTTGTTGCGCCTTCGGCCCGACTGTATGCCTTAAATATGAACGAGACAGCCTCTATCAAAGACAATGGCGGCCTTCCATTTCGAGCTTTGTTATGTACTCTGAGCTGCCAGTCTTGCCAAACCACCTGGTTTCAGACTCGGAGGCTGCTGGCGCCACTTATCTAGTTTCTTTCCAGCTGTCTGTTTACGCTAGGCTAGTCTGCGACACCTCGGAAACTTTTTTAACCGAGCACTATGAATGCACAGATACCTTGTTAATTCGCGCCAGAAGTACCAAAGGGTTTCCTTTCACGTTTCCAGGTTTCCCAACTGACAAATGGTTATATTCCTTCCAGAGTGAATTCCGAGAGAAACCGGTGCTGTCAAGCGTTTCATACATTAGAGACAGGATTGAGTCTATCATCCAGCTTTGTCCTGACGGCCTCTGAATATATACATGCAATGGTCTGCAACTCGTCAAAATCATCTTCGTTTGTCAGCCGCCTATCATCTGGCCTCGGTGCATTCTTGTTCCTCGCTTACTTGGACTGTATCGCAAAGTACGGCCCACCTTGCAATGAACGTTGTCGCCGTCGAGCGTTTAAGCTCATCGAGTTCTCAGATCTATTCCACCTGCTCATACGATCAGCCGACCTCGCTCTAACTTTTGGTTCCGCCCCCAGATGTGGGAGTTCTCTTCGTCAATGTGCGAACCAATGTGTGACTCATAGACCTTATCCCTTCACCGCGATCCAAAACATGGAATGCCTCTGATTTACCTGCAGCCGAGTTTCTCCCGTCTACCAGCCATGCTGACACACAAGTCACGATATTCTCATACGGAGGGATTACTATTAACGTTCATCCTCCGATGCGCGGACATTAGCCCATTTCGCTAGGGACTAGGTTTACGTTGTTCCAAACTCAAATTTCAATCTCCAGCTTCATGCGACGGAATCGATGCTGTGCTACCTAGCACATATTACCATCAAGGGCAACATACCGTTACGCCCATCATCATTCAGTATTTAATCCTCGCTATCAACATGTAAGATGTTCTTCACTTCTCTTTCCAGTTGCCTACCTTGTCATCGAGCTTGCTTGGTATTCGGACTTGAGAGTCGCTGGTCTCTCTATGTAGAAGGGCTTCAAATGCATTATCGTTTGCCTTCCTCGAGCCCATGCTTCGCATATTTGCTCGTTGAAATATGTCGACGTTAAGCATTTGAGGTCCTCTACCGAATAGGAGAGAGTGGTCATCTCCATGGTCAGCAACACCGTGGACGTGGACATTCTCAATACCAGCCATCATCGATTCGACAGTAGGCAAATCCAGCCCCTGCGAAGCCGTATGGTTCTACGATGCCTCTCCTTTGCTCTCCAGCACAGAAGACGTTGAATCTACTCTCATAAAGACCCTCAACTTTTACCCGCAGTGGTGCGGCTGTCTTCACCGCCTTCGACTCGCACTGATCCGGGGATGCTCTTGACTGGGCTCACATCGAACACGCTGTATTCGACCCCCGCCTATGCGCCAGCTTCAGAACTCGACGCGGATGCCTTAAAGCGAATGGGACGTCTCGGCGCGCGTCTCCCACTACGTCCTCCACTTCACCCGGGACAAAGTCACACAAATGCGCGGTGGGACACGGATGGAGGCCATCTTGGCGCATGTGTGAGAGTGCATCAACCGCGCACGCGGCCTCGTGGATGGAGACCAAGTCTACATGGATCTCACGACCACGGTTAAATCTATTTGCACGAAAAGTTTGAGGTCGCGCCACAGAGGTTGTAGCAGGCAATTCTGAGGCGCCGGCATGTCTTGGTCACGTCGTGGGTGCATACTGGAGTCTATCAGGTCGGTTTGGGGGGTCTGACTCCACGGTACATCGAGGCGGTGATGCCTAAATTGGATGGATTGCTGCACGTTATGCAAGTAGGCGGGGAACTTTTGATTTGCAACTACATTTAAAGCCATGGGAAGATTGCTGGAAGATCCCGCGTCGAGAAAATATTCTGCGACGTAAATCTTATAAGTCTCATATTCTAGCAAATTGACTATCAGTGGTACATTGAGAAAAACATGAATACATGCAACGATCAGCGCTGAAAAAGGTTACAAAAACGTCCGTGTTCTACATTCATATCCCACCGCCACCAAGAATATATTCGATCGCAGAGTGCACGTTCCCGCCTGTCGCCAACAGGGCTCGAACATTCTGCGATGCATTTGTGAAACCCATATCCTGCAGTTGCTACTGTACGCATTAGAATTGAACCAAGGCGAGCAAAAGAACACGGACCTGCAATTGGACCTGGAACCGCTCTTCGGGCGATCTCGTGTCCGCCGGCGCTGTGGGTGCAGCTCCAAATCCGCCGAGTCCGCCACCGGGAAGCCCGCCTCCCAGCAGCAGCTGCCGCGTCAACGCAGGATCGAGTGTAAACGGAGGGCGTGCATTCGGAGTCGACAGACCACCATAGGGATTGAACAGATTTGGGGGTATTGGCGCCGTCCCTGTTCCAGGCGCCGCTGCTGCACCTCCCGTGGCTGCAGCTGCCCCAGCAGCCGGTGCGGCACCGCCTGGCACGCCTGGTGCAGGGAAACTGCTCGCACCTCCACCCATCCCGCCAAATCCGCCCAATCCACCCGCTCCACCGCCCTGGAGCATCGACGCCATCTGCATCATTTGCTGGAGCCGTTGCGGGTCCGAACTAAGCCATGATCAGCTTGGCAGTAGAGAAAAGGATCAGTGAACACACATCATCTGGCGGAATCCTTCACTCTGAAACATCTCCCGGGCCTGCGGCGCCATAGCCTGCAGCTGTGGATTGGAAGCGATGATCTGGTCCAGCACAGCAGGGTTCGCCATCATCCCTGCCATCTGCTGCAGGAACTCGGGCGAGCTCATCATCGTTTGGAGCTGTGCACATTAATCACTGCGCAGACACAAATACAGCCAACACACACCATATTCGGGTCGTTCTGGTTGAGGCCCATGTCGGCGAAGGGGTTGATGCCCGCCATGGCGCCGTAGCCCAGGTGGCTGTTGAGCAGCGTGAGCGGGTCGTGCGGGTTCTGCCCCGTCTGCATGGTCGGGAGCGGCTGCGGCGCTCCCGCTGACGAAGACGCATTCCCGCCCCGCGCCACTCCTTTCACCATGTGGATCGTGTGCCCAGAGCTGATTTTGTACGTCGAAAGAACGTCCTCGTCCTGCAACCAGTCAGCACGGATACCCTTGTACAAGAGCCTTCACGCCACCTTCAAGACACGTCCTAGTGTCCCAGTTTGTCAGCCAAGGGAAACGAGACAGAAAAAATATGGAGAAAAATACCAGAATAAATGAGCCTCTGCCGTTCTGCTTCTACGTCGGATTTCTCAGCGACTGCTTGTTTCAGCTCGAGAACCGTTTTGTCTGTCGCGATCGTTATCTGCAGCTTGATTTCGCCCGGTCCTAGTGTGCGATGTGAATCAGCGTCGTGAATATGGAGCAGAGAGTATGCGTGAGAGACCTTTAACGTTTATCTGGATTTCCTCTGCCATCGTGAAGGAGTAGAAAAAGAGAGTAGAGGAAGGAAGAGAAGTTGTATGGCTGTTGAAAGATGACGTATAGTAAGCCAGCTAGTGGTATTAGGTAATGTTTTAGGTAATCCCGCCTCAAGCGGGAATGCCTATTATGGAGGTGGCTCCGCGCATTCCTTTGAGCCACGGCCAATGCTTGCGGGAGTGCTTAGCACTCAGTGCCAAGTGCTCCTTCGATCGGCAGTCTGACTCCAGTCACAATGCTGAAGCGGAACAGTGAGCTGCGTCAAGTTCAAACTTTAGACTGACTCGCAAAAAATAAAAACCATGGGGGCACCCAGGATTGAACTGGGGACCTCCAGAAACCAACCGCATTACATCATTGACTTCAATCTGTTGCTTCCCCAACTGAGCTATGCCCCCATAAAAACTGGCCTGAAATAAGAGGAAGGATAATTCAACATAGATGATCAAATTAAACCCAAATTAATTTCGCCCTTGACCTATCGCCATGCAAGTCCCAGCCATCATCCAAAAGCTGCTCTCTCCGTTCCCTGTGTACACCTATCCTCCAATCCCTCCGCCGCCCCAATCCACGACACACCCCACCCCCTGTCTATGGATCCATCCTCCCCCCTCACCCGACGGTGTCCTCAGCTCCGACGTCGAGTGCCTCAAATGGCAGGCCTACCTCGCCCTGCGCGGCCTCGACCACATCGCCGTGCGCACCGACGTCGACCCCCAGGGCGCCCTCGATGCCCAGCTGCCCAACCTGTGGGACGGTGCCCAGCTGTTGGCGGCGCGGGAGCTGCCCGCCTGGGTCGACACCAAGGTCCCCAGCGGAGCCCCGGAACTTGAAGGCTACAAAGACGCGGCGGCGCGCGATGAGAGCCGCGCGTGGGTGGCGCTGCTGGAGGGCTGCGTGCACGCTGCGCTGCTCCTCGTCCACCCGCCGCCCTCGTCGCTGTTCTCCCTAGCGGAGACCAAGACCCGCCCGATTGAGTCCACCCTCGCGCCGCCCCCCGCCCCGCTGTCGGGCCTCACGTCCCTCCTCCCGCCCTTTGGCGCGCGCATCCCCCGGGAGACTATCCACTCGCGCTACCGCGAAGCCATTGGGGCGCTCTCCGAAAGACTGGGCACCGACAAGTGGTTCTTGTCGTCCGAGTACGTTCTCTTTGCTTGTTTCTTCTGTGGTGCTGACACTGGATAGGGCCCCGACACCACTCGATGCGCTCGTCTTTGCGTACCTTCACTGCATACTGCACTCCAAAGACTCGATACGCATCGAGGTGACGCGCAGGGTGAATCTGGTTGCCTGGGAGTGGAGGGTGCGAGGATTAATTAGGGCGGCGTTTCTAACGAGGCGGTAATTCATGTCAAGGTTTGTTCCTACTTGTGCGTTCAATGTTGTCCCTATAGCTTATCACCTTGGTGTGTAAAAATGTCCTACCAAGTACATCAAATCATTGCAATGGACCGTTCCAACACAAGTCCAAGATGTAAACACAATCAAGGCCCAACCTACATACTCCTCAAACTTTCCTGCGCTGTAGAGAGAAATGACTGGGATTCTGGAAAACAACTAGATACGAATTTTGTCAAGCAGTCACCACTGAGTTCGATACTTCTAGAATGGCATATGTTTTCGTCGGCCCCCTACGTTGAAAGTGGTGGTGCTGCGTATCATGGTTGGCAAGACGGTGTCATCATTAACCATGCAATGCCGCGTTCTCACAGTTCTTCTCTGTCACCTTTTGCTTTTCCTTCCCGCTGCTCATCATTATGATGCCATTCTCAGATGCTCTGCCTGTCCTCGCGCTGCCCCAGAGGTATCCGGGGGAAATGAACGGGTGAGCGCTACGTTCGATAACAATGACACGGTTTCTCCGACTCCTAGTTCGCAATGTGTCCGTTGTAATACATTATCCGCAATAAGTGAGATAGCGAACGCTTCACCTCCGTTCAATTGTTGTTGAGTCTCCATTCATTTCACCTGCTCACAATGGGTAGGAGCCTAATTTGAACGTTATGGATCACTCCTCCCGACCTTTAACGCCGATCTTCATAAAAAGGTCGCCAAATCCCCTGATTCTATTCTGCTATTCAATAATTATATCTCAGTTTGGCATGCCTCCTGCACCCGGTGCTTCTATAGCTATCGAGGACCCATCCGCAGCGAGAATACTCGTTCACGCAGGCCCTCTTCCTCTCGAAAAAATCTTTCACGCAATTGACAACACCCGGAATACAGGCGATGCGACATAGGACAGGGGTAATGGAAAGTAGCGAGCTATAGGCGTTTCGTATGGGCCAGTAGGTACTTTATTGGCAGACGTGACTTGATTATCCGCTCCCAAATGCAAGTTGAGGCCTTCCGGGAAGATATACGCGCACTTGAAGCTTATTTATGTCCTAATACTGATTTTTTTCCAACGGATTCTGGTCGAAATGTACAATATAGACGTCTGATCTAGGCTTGCAATGATACCCGTCACGAAAGAGGCTGGGCGCTCTTGAGTATCGAGTATCGAGTATCGGAGAAATTTAAAGATCAAAGACACCTGGGCCTGTTTTTTGCTGTAGTATATGGTCGCTTGAGAGTGAGTGTGACCATATAGACGAATGGCGTCTTCACTGATGGACTGAGCGGCGCGCGTCGATCACGGTGCTCGATCACGGGGACTTCGATCACGGTACACCATGACGGTTGGTTGATCGCGTCGTGGCCTATCGCGTTCATCGCTTTGATCATCACTAGCTAGGCTGGTCCTTCTTGGGTACACACTATCTACCCCCCTCCCAATACAATGCCAGAGCAAGTTATCTGCCAATGCCTCTATGACGAAATCATCTCTCCCACTCTCCACTGGCATAGCCTTCCTGGCAGACATGATGATCTATATTTTGAGCCGCTTCCAACGAAGGTGGCAGCATGCCCGTCTTGTGTTAATCTTACCGTGGAAGATGAGGGACCTACGTGCCAGGTGAGTGGTGTATTTAACCTTCTATTCACCACATACTAACATGATCGATTTAGGATGGACCCTCACTCCTGAATTTCTCACTTTCAACACAATCTGATATTCAACTCCCATCCGGCACCGCCCATGTACTTATATTTTCAACACACTCTTCTGTGCCTGAACATTTATCTGAGTCTACTGCTGCCACACCCAACATTACCACCTCTGAGTCTTCTTCACTGCGATCCCCAGCCGCAGAGGTTGGCCACGCTCTCGATATCTCCAGCCAACTGTCCTCTCTCGACCAAGGAAAAGAGCTTGTCCTGTTCATCCAGAACGACGCCCAGAAGTCGTATGTGAGTTCTTTCTCATTCGCATCTAGTCAGCTGGTCAATCTCTCTGCAGACCGATCGAGTAAAGCTACATTCCTGTGTTAAGAAGAAGAAGAAGAAGAAGCGTGCCCGAGATACTCCAGGGACCGAAGAAGACAATGGTACGCGCCAGACAAAGCGGAAGAGAGGGAAGAGTTCAAAGGGGGTGCTGCTGCCACAGACCCATGTCACCGACAAAGCTTCGCGGGATAGTGGTGGGACCAGAAGTCTGGAACGGCGAGTCCTGGAGGATATCACGAACAAGGTTTTGCATGCTGTGACCTGAGGACACAAACAATTGGCTCAGAATTATGCAGTCGCTTAGTCGATTACCTACCGGGCCGTACTTGGAGATTATAATATTATTACCCTTTGCGTAATCTCACGGTGTTGTGAAATGGAGGATCGGTTCGTTCCCAGTAAGTAGTAGCTCGACACCGTGCGCGTCGAGCTACTACTATTGCGCTTGGCTGAGCTCTGCAAACCCATGAAGATGTACACTAGAATCTTCTACTCTTTTCCTATTTCCTCTTCCTTAAACAAGTTCGGCATGATGCCGGATTCCCATATTCCAACACAGACTTCGCGAACAAACTCTTATTGACCATTCTTACTGAGCCGTTTTCCTCCGCCTCTCCAAGTAAACATCTCATTACGTTGCATTGCCAGCCGAGCTCATCGCAGAAGACTATGACACCACTTTGGCATTAGTAGCGCTCGTTCGTGCTGGCGAAAAATCGATCCGACGCCCTTGTCCATGAACAAATGGCGTCGCTCAAACAAAATTAGGTATTTACAGGATAGATATAGTACATAAGAAGCATAACAAATCAAAAATCAAAACATGTAGATAAAAAGTCCCCAAAGAGTGCTAGTGAAAAACGAACGAATGTAAAATTAAGATGCTAGGATTGGTGAACTACAGTTAGATCCAATGAAAGGAAATGATGGTATGCGAAAAATGTGAAGAGATATATGGTCCGTTGTAGCCCCAGAGAATGTGATAGAGGAGAAATAAATTAAGATGCAATGTGAAAAATGTTCATCTCAGTCCAAGTTCAGACGCACCAGCCAGGTCAATAAACCTCGTCACCCGCCTCATAGATTTTATCGCCGCGTAATCATCCACGTCGTCCGCGCGCCTCGCGTGTCGCTCGCACAGCATCCTCCCATCCACCTCCCAGTACTCCTCCAGCTTCTCGTGACATCCTGGATGTTCGCATAAAAGATGTTCAGGATGGTATCGATCTCCCGCATGCGAGACCGCACACGGTCCCTCGATTGGCTGGCCGCACGTAGCAGCAGCACATAAGGATTCGTTGGCTTCATGATAGTGATAAGCGCATAAGGGTCGACCGTCAAATACGTAGAACGTTTTGTCGGGAAAAGATTTCTGAGGACAAGGAAGAATCAGAGAAACGCTACAACGTGGACGCAAAAGAAACATACGTGGCATATATGACAATTAAAACAGTCTTTGTGATACTTTCCTTTAAGTTGGCCGTCAGAAGACGATACTGCTTGTTTCTCTATAGGTAAATTACAACGCCGACACTAGAGAAAAATGAACCGTCAGCTCTTCGTTCATCAAATGACGAAAAACACTTACTTTGGGTAAATACATATTCTTCCAACACTTCTCGCAAAGTACACCCCCGGTATCAACCTGTATCCACCTCCCATCCTCGATTTTCATATCACAGCGCACACAAATCCGAACCTTCTTCGCCGGTCGCTCTATACCACGCAGCGCTTCCTTCCCTTTCCTCACCCTCTCCAAATCCGACGAACGCTCTTTCTCCGTCCTCGCACGCGCCGGCAGCTTCACAGGTTTATTCTCTGGACTGCTCATAACCTGCATCGTATTACTCCGATACGGTATTGGGACAGCCGAGGTCCTCGTATCACTGCCATCCTCTTTCTTGAAATACGTCTGCTTCCCCGTAGACTTGCTCTTAGACAACGACGATCGCGCGTCATCCAACGTGACGTCTTCTAACAACGTCTCCATCGCCCTTTCCAGTTGGCCGGTAACCAGACCAGAAGATGATTGCGCAATCTTTTCTAGTCCGGTTCCAGAGGAAACCGA